ATGAGTATAGACATTAAGAATGCAGTGAACTTTGAGCTCACAGCTGTAATGGAGCACGAAGGTGTAATGGAGCTCGATCACATTAAAGCTCAAATATGACCAATTTTTAAGGATCAAAATGGAAAAGAAGAGCATAAGTGGAGGACAGTTTATAGTGAACTCTGCATCAAATTGAGATGATCAACACATCAGTAGAGAGGAGGTACGGGTCGGTTTCTAAGCTAGCTATTTGCAACTTTTGTAAACACCGCCATCTATGAGCTCCAACCTTTGTGTGTTACACTCACAAACAAATTAGTTGACTCAAAGAAGTAGAAGCCATGAATAAACTGGAGAAAACAACTTGGGAAAACTATTTCAGTTGCTCTCTTCAATACTCCCGTCCATGACTTCTGAGGTCAATCATGGCGCCTTGAGTGATTAAATGACATAGTTGCAAAGGTTAACATCTTGTTGAACTTGTATGTTAGTTTTGTCTTATTTCAAGTGAAGAAATTAGACCAAAAATACTTGGTAAGATTTGGTGTTTTTGAGTGTTTGGCAACAATGCAGATGAATTTCGGCTCTAAAAAGGAGCGTCCGTCCTCTGTATCGTAATGTAAACTGTTCACAAAAGCAAAGACTTAGCTGTAGACAAGTCACTACCATCACTACTTTACTCTGTGTTTTTTGTGCTTTTGAATGTGTCAGTGATGCCTCATCAAAAGCATACCAGTCAGATTTGCTATTTATCTTCCCGTCAACTTGCTCCCCGTTTCTTAATTTGTAAAGATGGCCATTATACGGAACAGTGATTACATAAACAGGAACGTGTAAAAACTCTTCCACGGTATAGGCTAAAGATTAAAGAGGCGCTGCGGGTGAAATCACAGGAGGAGCTTAAGAGATGCAAAGCATCTACTGCAACCAAACGACAGATTGGTAATTCCACGGAAACCACAAAGGCTGGAAAAGTGCTGCATGCACACGCGCAAATCAAAATGGGGGAAATGTTTCCATGGTCCCTAAGAACACAACAAAGCAAAAATACTTAATGAAATCTGCAGCGGAGATGAGACTCTGCTCCTTTAATCCTATTTGGAATAATTTTGAATTCATATCCAACTTAAAAAAGCTTGACAAACTCATCTTGAGGCTTTTTTTCCCCCAGATAAAACCTTTCCTGTGTACTGTTATGATCACATGTTCAGTCTGAATATACACAGTTATTAGCAAAACTAAAACTACAGTGCTAAAACTAAAATGCAGATAATTTTTACACAAATTATTTTTATATTTGAACAAAAATGTATTCATAGGTATTTTTCTTCTTTAAAGTTAAACAACAATAAAAACCAAGACTTCCAATATATGGGAATATGTAAAATTATATACAATCAATACAGTTTTTTGTACAACATTAAATAAACACTATGATATAATCAATATCCACATAAAAACAAACAATATAATGAATTGGCTTTTAAGTCAAATTGTTTGCAAACATTATAATAGTGAACCTGAACGGTGATACAAGTTGATTGACAGCACAACCGAGATCATGATACATAAGACACAAAGTTTGTTTTTATGCAGCCAAATAAATCTGTTGCCATTTTAACAATCTGATGGCATTCATATAATGTTTTAAAGCAGGATTCTAATGCTGCAGCTGTTTAGCATACAGGCCATTTTTATTGTAAATAAAAACAGTCTCTAAATTTTATCATTTTATTATTTTTTTCAATTTACTTTATAATTCATTGTTGCTATTTATGAAAGTAAATCTTTTGACAATTAGACAATAATTATTCAGAGTCACACTGCTGGACAGAAATGATTAAAATCCATAAAAAAATAAAGGAAGTCCAACAGACGGCATTTTCTGTTTCCTACCAAGCCGCTGACTCTGACGTCATGGAGCCGTCCCCAGTCATCTTCATGGCTGTCAACCATCATCATGGTATCATCCTCCTCTAAGAGCCACTCCGCCCGCAGGTCGACCTTCACCTCCTCCCCCATGGAGTGCATACCTACAGCCGGGTAAAGGCCCTCAGACGACACAGGAACCTCTACTGAACCCACCTGGACAAGACAGACAGGAAATAAACTTAAAAAATGTCTGATAAATCAATAAAAACAACAGATGTATAACAAAAGTGTGTATTTATTTCTTTTTTATTTTAGAAAATTAAGCATTAAATGTCTTCTTTGAAATTCATTCTCATTTTAATTGTCTGGCATTTATATTGTCTGGCTTTATTATTAATATTCTGATAATTGTATTTGACTTTATTGTAAAATACATCTTATTCTGTGATATTAAATACATATTTTAGAAATTAGAGTTAACAATATACATTTATGAAGGGAAAACATTTCTAAACCAAAAGTACCTCTCTATCTGTCCTTTACCATCTTTCTTTCTCTCTCTCTGTATATTCTTGTTTTGTTTTTTTTTATCTATTTGGTATTTCCACACCTGTTAGTCCAATACATTCAGTTCGATTGGGAAACAAAATTACAACGTTTATTACATTTCCAGTTGCAGCGGTTCACTTCCACACTGCACTGTCAATAAAACCAAACTATTGAAAAATCTGTTCCCCTCCTGACCAGTGGTGGCGCTGTACCAAGCACCAATGAAGGAAATTACACAAAAACCTCATTTTCATGAAATATAAATCAAAATGGAGTAGCATCAGATTTTAGTGGTTGAACGATTTTTCTGTTGTCTTTGACAAAAAAACATGAGACATTTCTCCCGCTAGCGATAGACGCATGTATTTGTTTTCGTTGTATTTACCCAGAATGCCAGAAGTCCATTTTCCATTCACATAAACATTCAAACTGCATCAGAGTTCATTTCAACTGAACCCAGATCTGGGTTTGTAGGCAGACCAGAGTTCACATTTTTGGTTCGCATCAGAGTTTGATTACGCCTTAATGAATCTGACTTTCTAAGGCAAACAAACTAGAGTCGGATTAAAGTGGATCAAAAATGGCAGCTGTGAAAATAACCTAACAAAATCAGGAAAATAAGAGTAAGGAATCTAGATTCTCCTTTAATATATAGTTGGCATAAGCTAAAATAGATAGAACTGCCTCTTTAATGCATTTACTTATATACCAAGACAGTATAATTTAGTAATATTTAATGTTCATTTGTTTCATGCAGACATTGCAAACATTGAAAGCCTTGGGGAAAACTCACCTCTCTGCCATTTTTGGTGAAGAAGACAGTAATAAGACCAGCTTCTGTGTTTTCTGAGTGTATGCCGCAGCCAATGCGGTCACCACGAGCGCATTTTGGCCCAAACTGCTTTCCAACAGGGTTACCATTATACAGCCTGTAAGACAAACACATTAAATAAATAAATCCAGTTAAGAACAGAACTGATAACTAATTCTGGTTCTCATTTTACATGTAAAAGCTGACTGAAAAAAACAAACAAGGAAGCCCAGCAAATAATTGAGGATTCAGAGCCAGACTGATAAGGAGGTTTTAAAACAATTGGGTACTCTTTCATCTGTATTCCTATAATCTTCTGTTGCATGTGGAGGATGCGTCATGAGTCAATGTCCCCCGTCTGGTCTGGACAGACTGCTCATAGATCATTACAAGGAGCTGCTTTTCACCCTACAGCTGTCTGCGCCAGAAAAACAGGCTTAGTTTTCAGTTTTACACAACGGCTGCCAAACTCTGCTAACATCATGAATCTGACTAAGCTCTCTAATAAACTGTGAAGCACCTCAAACTGCAAACAGCTGGTGGGCCACAGTGGTTTAGTCTCTGTCGGGTCAGACAGGGTCATGAAACTAGTCTGCATCCAACAGAAGGAGAAAACACTAAAGCTGCAACTGAAGATTATTGTAATAATTGATTATGACAAAAAGAATTGGCACACACTGCAGATTTTTCATTTAACCACTTAACCATTTAAAAGATGCAAATAAACAATTCAACTCCTTTTTAAAATAAGAAAATAAACTTTTGTTCTTGCCTAAAAAGCAACAAGGCATTCCTTTAGCGATTTCTTGATCATTTGTAACAAAGAACAAATCTGCATCAAGTCTGGGGTTCTTTCCTCAAAACGGACTCAGCCATTTAAATAATCCTGCTAGAGATAATAACTTAATCCTTATGTGTTAAAAGATTAAGTATTTCCTTTGTTGTAAAACCAATACCAACTATAATGGCACAAAATGGTCAGTATTCATCATTTTAACATAATTTGGTGTAGAGTTCTCATAAAATTAAAATTTTATTCTCGTACTAAAAACAAACTAACAAACAAAACAACATGTTTAGTCTGGCCCTAAGCATGTTTACGGTGAATGCAAAATATTTCATCTCTTCCAACATGGAATATTGTTGTACATTTTGCACAAAACATTTTAAAAAGCTATATGGCTACTGAAAAAGAAGAGGCATAAGAAGCTCATAAGTTACAACTGCTTACAATTTTAAAAAGTTTTACTATGAAACATTTGCAATTTAAAATCACACAGACTGAGTAGTTTTGATTAAATTTTACTAATACAGTTAAAAACTGAAGTTGGAAATTGTTTTGAGACTTGCTTTTTGAAACATTATAAATGAAAATCAACATTTTGATGTGTAACGAACACTTGACAAAATATAAAGATTCAGTTACTGACTGTATGTTCTGTGACTTTGTATTTTTATGATGTAAAGCACTTTGAACTGCCTTGTTGCTGAAATGTGCTACACAAATAAACTTGATTGATTGACTTAGAACAGTAAATCAATCTGCAATAATTTAATGTTTAAATCGTTACAGCTCAATTTATTAATCTGTTTTAATAATCAGGTCATATTATGCTGGTGCCAGTGAATTGTAGAGATAAACCATTAAACATTATGAGATTATAAACAGTATTGCAATTTATGATCCCTTGGGGAGGCATGGCAGAAAATAAGTGAGAAACATCGGTTTAGAATCACAGCGTCAAAGCGCTGAAGGATTACTGGTGTATTTTTGTGGATGTACAGCAGGAAAATGAGTTTGTCTAAGCTGATGCAGGAACCAAATGCTCCTCCGCTGGGTAAGGAGATCTGTGGTCGACTTACTTGCCGTTGTCAGCATGGTAAGCTACAGAGTATGGCAGCCAGCCAGGCTGGTGGTCCAGCCTGTAGAATTTAGGCACCAGGCCCACCGCGATGGTTCCCCTCACTCCTGTGTCCACTATTGTTACCTACAGATGCACGAAAAGATGGCACCAATTAAAGGTCATTTATTTCACAAATACAATTCAGGCTTGCTTGCAAACAGTTGGAAATGGATATTTAAATACAAATAAGACACAAAAACCATTCTCTTCTGTCTTTCTCAAACCATTTCCATTGGTAAAACATTAGAATAGAGCTGCAATAATTTTATTTTAGTTACTGATTATCGGATAAAGAAAGTTGCTAATTTAAGCATTTTTATACAACATTAGATATCCATAAAAAGATGCAAATAAACAAATAATTAAATTCCACTTTTAAGTAAAAAAATTAACATTTCATCGCCTAAAATGCAATAACACAGAATTCCTTTAGTGTCCGCTTGATCATTTGTAGCAGAAAATGCATCTGCAGCAAAAAAAAACTTCTAATATTAACATATGAAAAGTTCAGGTCTTTCTGCTTGACTTAATATCAATTCAGTGTATATTTAGAATTAACTAATTAACAACTGAGTAGCAAAAGGTGCTTATTAGTAGTTTTTAATATACTACAGTTAACAATTAATCATTAATTGAATTAGCTGATAGTTATTTCAAGAATTGATTAATCATGATAAAGTCGATTATTTGTTTTAGTTCTACATCAAAACAATTTCAATAAAAATGGTAGAAATACCTTTCACACTGTGTAAATTGTTTGCAAAACTTCTTGTTTTCAACAAGCGTCTTAGTCTAGTAGATTGCTGGAATTTTGGCCCATTCCTGACAGATCTACCGTACTTAAATAAAGTTCAAAGGTCACACCTTCTTAGCTCTGCCAAAACACTTTCTAATGTTAAAAAAAAATTGTGTTACAACTTTAATCTAAAAGTCAGTGAGATTCAAAGTAAGCAAAACAAAAAAGTGGCATCTTGGGATCACAAAGTCTCCATTTAGCTGACTTTCTCAGTTTCTCACTCGTCCTCTGGGTGTTTTCACACCTGATAGTCTGGTAGACTCGGTTCAATTAAGGACCAACGTTGTAACATTTGTAACATTTTCAGCTGCTGCGGTTCACTTTCACACTGCACTGTTTCAAGCAAGCCAAACCCTTTGAGCAACTGTTCACCTCCTTGCCTGCGGGGGTGCTGATCCAAGAACTACTGAAAGAAATGACACAAAAATCTCTGAAGAAGAGACTGAGTGCAACTTCCGTCTTCACAAAATTAAAACAAAAGTCATAAGATTTTTCTTTTTCTTTGGTAAAGACCACATACCATTTCTCATGCTAGCGCTAGGCTAGCTCGTTTGTTTTGCTTGTATTTACCCAGAATGCCTTGCACTGTAGTCCATTTCCTGTTTTGGGGCTGTCTCCGGTCTGCTTAATGTTCAAATATTCATTGGAATCGCACCAGCGTTCCCTTGAACCGAAACAAGACTGAGGTTTGTCAGACCAGAGTTCACTTTTTTGGTTTGATTTTGCATTCACACCTCAAGCAAACCAAACTTTCTAGGAAAACAAACTAAGAGTTTGAGGTTTTATATGTATCTAAACCATGGACCAAAAGGTTTGGTGGTTGTTGTATCTAAGATAATTTCATTAGTAACAACATTAACAATCAGCTACCCAGATGTACAGCCAAACACTAAAATCTCATGTTCACCTTGAGAGAAACCTTGGTTTCATGGAAAATATCTAAAAAATGTATCACATGTTTGGACCTTTTCTGTCTTCACTTCTTTATTTTCAGTTTGGCACTTGAAAGAAAGTATTCGACACACCCTGTCATAATATTTCCTTTGTCTGTATGATTTAAATAAAAGTCACAAAAACATGAAATCAATCACATACGGTGCAGGAATTTGCTGGTAATGTGCCATTAGGTTAAAATGAGCGGGGGGGAAAAACTATTAAAACAAGCAAAATGGAGCAGCTGTTCAGCAGGAATCAAAGCCTGAAGACCTGAAAAAACCAGAGGAGTACTGACAGCCGGGGTGAAACGGATTCCTTGTGAAAGCAAAACAAGGAGAAATGAGGGAAGCAGTGACGCATATGTCGACAGAAGTCTGACCTTTAGCAAAATAAATGCTCCCAAATTTCAGAGATATCTTGGAAACTGACAGCATGTGCGTCACAGAATGGAGAATAATGTAGCACAACCTCTGGGTTATGACCCAGGTAAAATCTACTTGTTCTAAATGTCAGGGAGATCCACGAAGCTCAAAATGAGACAGTCGTTTGTTATCATCGTTATTGTGGGGGAAATTTGACATGTATTTAATCTACAAAAAGGTTAAATGTGACATACTAAGAGCAGTGTGTAGAAAAGATGCACAACGCCCAGTCACGAGTTATCCGACTGGTCCAACTACCACTACTGAGCCAACTTCAGCTCTATTTTAAGGTCAAAGAATCCACAGCCAATATAAATAGTTTTCCTTTTCTCTCACCCAAACATTACAGGGATGCAAATAATTAATTAACTTCCGATTAATCGTCGATTAATGGTTTATTAGATTAAATTAATTCCAATGGACTAATTTATAATGTCGCTTGCACCTTCTTTTAATGTTGTAGTTTGGCTGCCATCCAGCAGAGGGCGCCGCTGGTCATTACTAAGCAGAGCCAGTTGATACAAGATGGCGGGCGCCACAGAACGGTCCAAACAGAAAATGTGGGATGGAAAATGTGCTTTATGCGGTTCTGTTTTGAAACATAAACACTCGACAAGCTCCTTAAGTTTCATATTAATAGCGCTCATTCAGCCGAGCTGCGTCTCTGTAAGTGTTTCATATATTTTATTCTTTTCATCTTTTATTTTTCTATTCAGCTGCTAAGAGGCCATGCTTTAATCATGTTAATGTGAGAAAACCACAACTTTATGTTGTCACTGTTTAATACAGCTGACACAAAACTGATAAAATCTAATGTATTATTAATTAATTATTATTATTATTATTATTATTAAGCATATTATGAAAATATAGGACGGTTGGCCCTCTTTGTACAAAATTAAACTCAGGTTTTTGAGTAGTAATAATCTAGTGGATTAATTTATCAACTTTCGATTAACTTATTAATCGATGAACTTATCAATAACTTGCATCCCTATCTGTTACAGAACCGATTTCAGTTTCAGGGCTAGACATATATCTCGTTTTGGCTTAACTTGAAGTTCACATCAGGGTTAATGGAGGTCGATCCAGTCAGGGTTTCCTATGATGCTCCAGACATTTCAGACATTACATGAGATGCCTTTTTAGCCACGAAATGGTCAGTGAGCGTGTGCATGAGTAATTTTAACTACGCAAATTACAATAAAACATAAATCTCACACTCACCCATACCTAATTTGGGGTAGTGGTTTTTCAATGGTGAGCTTAAACTCCTGGGGGGCTACTTTAAATTTAATATAAAGCTGAGAAAAAAATGCCAAAAATTGGACTGTAATGATTAAAATTGCTTGTTGGATGGAAAAGCATTCCTGGGCATAACCAGGGATGATGGTGTGGGGAATGTGGCTCGCCATACCATGCATCAATTGGAATTACAGCAAATTAAACATAAACTAAAGTGATCAGTTCACATCTGGCAGCTCAGTCGCAACACATCAAGGTGCCTCACCTCAAAGTAGCAATTTCCCTTTGATAAAGGAAGGCCAGCCACATAGCAACCCACTTCCTCGGAGTTCCCTTGGTAACTACAGGGAGGAAATTACAGGTTAACAATAGGCCCAGTTTCTGTTTGAGCTAAACATCAGCTCACTGAAAACCCTTGATCGAAGTATATTCACCAACATGGTAGACAGATGTAATGAGAAATGGGTCTAGGAATTATTCACCAGGATGCTGATTTGAAATAATAGCCACAAACATATTTTTCACAGTCTGTTTGAAGCATTTCTTTTGCATATTAGGATTTACTGGTCTACTGTTGTTGATTTTAACTTGTAAACAAGTATTACATTACAGCAATACAGAATAAAACTTCCACTTTTCTATTTCAGAGCTTCTTAGGTTTCCAGAGACTCTGTCAAGATTCTCAGTCGCTCAAATCAGAAACCTTTGGAGACTGCTGGAGTTTTTTTTTTTAAGAGAAATTCATGAAAGGTGTGTTTCACAAGGATTTAAAAATAAAACACAATTATTAAAACAGGAGTTTTCAATCATTTTATAGTCATTGTTACTGTTTGCATCAGACACCTTAAGACTTATAACCAGTCCTTTGTTGCAATGTTTTTGTTTAGCAATTAAGCATTTTTGATAACTTTGACAAAACTTAGTGCATTTAGCTTTCCCTAGATACATTTTTCAAAATGCATTCTAAAGCATTAATCTAGAGATTTAAAATAAAAGTTGAAAAGCAGCAACTTCTAAGATTTATAATTTTAGAATAATTGCAGTGGCACTAGGATAAAATAAAATAAACCTTAGGACGAAAAGGAGGAACACATGGGAGTCAGAAGACTCAGTCAGTTCCTTCTGATCTCTTTCCAAAAGTGTTATGTTTCTCTTGTTTATTTTTTGTCCCACCATGTTTGGACGCCCAAGGATAACTACACAATCCTTCAAAAAGGGTTTCAGTTTTATTTACCAATCAAAGCAATAAAATTATAGGTCCAGCCAATGGCCTCCATCTTTTGTAAAAATATGGGCTCCAAAGTTTGGAAAAGTAATTCCTTAAACATGACCAAATGGGTAGAGTGGTGTATACTTTTGATAGGCCAAGTAAGGTCAGCATGTTTTAAATGTTTCTTGAAATGAATCCTGATCATCATCAGTCCTGACTTCTATGTAAATGGCTATCATTAATATTCATTAAGAAGAGAGGATAAATGACCATGAAAATAATATGATTACATCTTGACAGGGAGGCTGACCTAAGTGTGTCTCCGTCCTTCTGCAACCTCATGCATCGATCCTGGGCTGGGCAACCATCTTCTATGTCTCGAATTCTACGCCTCAAATTGAGAAGGCATCTGTGGTGTAAAACATTGATGTCATCCATCTGAATGAAGACCAAAGGGGAAAAAAGAATAGAAAAACAATCTGTCAGGGAGCTAGCTTCGAGATATCAACAAGCTTCATATTTCTCCATATTATTCCATAATTTTCCAGGTTCAAATTTCTAGATATTTTTTCAGCATTTCAATAGAAGTCTGGACATTTGATTATAAAGCAATAACTTTGAACCTGCCTGAATAGTAGTGGAGTCTAATTATCTGTAGGTTCTACAAATACTGAAACAGCACTGTTGAAACCGTCAGCTTTATTAAAAAAAACTGTTTGACAATTCAAAGAAGGAACAGAATATCCTAAGCAAAATATAGATTCTCTTGTACACTTCTATACTTTAATAAAAATTTTAGTTTTAGTGTATCAACTTACTTATAGTGCAAACATGTTGTAAAACACCCTTTTTCTTTTTTATGAATCAGTGAGTCAGAAAAACAAAATATTGAGGAGGAAAATGGGACTATAGAGCAAGTAGAACTGTTGTTGCAGCAAGAAGGTCCTACATATTCAAAAGTCTAAATTTTGAGAAAAAATAAAAAAAAATTACCCACCTCCCGACCTCCACCCCACTCAGAATTTAGATTGTAATCTCAGAAATTTGGCTTTGTTCTCAAATTTATTTATTTATTATTTTTTTAAGTCTGACTTAATTGTTTTTTTTCAGTGACCCTAATCCTCTTCCGTAGTTTAAACCCTCCACAAATATTAACAGTGGAAACGTGAAATTTGACGGTGAGAAGGGGGCGTGTCTCTGTTTACATCCGACAGCCAGCATCCTCTACCAGCTGACCATCAGAAATAAAAACACGACAATTTATTTTTAATAATCTAACACCATTATTCAACTGGATAGCATCTCAAACAGACAGCTAACGGCTCCTCGGTGGCGGAAGAATGGAGAACTTAGTGAAGCTAAATCCGGGTTAGCATCGTTAGCGGTTAGCATGGTGCGGTCTGGTTCCTCGTAAGAAACCAAAATTACAGATAAAATATATCCTAAGCAGGAAACCGTTCTCCACACCGTCAGGCGTTCAGGTAACGGTGAGTGTGTCGCTTACCTGTGCGCAGTTAATGAGGACGGAGGCTTACTGCCGTCCATCGGCTAACCTTAGCATCACTCTAAACTTTGGAAACTGGAGTTCGGCGCTTCCCACTGACGTCACGGTCTCCTTCTTTTCAACAGCCAATAGGAGCACGAGTTGAGAAACTGTGTGAAGGGTTTGACCAATCCTGACTCCCGGATGAGTGTGTATGCGACACTCTGGGTTCATCCTGATTTCATCTGATGGAGACAAAAAAAATCCTGATATTTATCACTATTATGAATTATTTCCTTCTCCACATTTTTGTTTCGACCAGTTTGCTTCAATAATGGCATTTTATGATCACTGGAGGTTTAATTACCTTAAAATGCATTATTAATAAAGCAATTATAACAGTAATTGGGGTTGCTTTAAACCAGATGGTTAGAGTGGGAATTTTTTTTGTTTGTTTTTTAAAACAGAAAAAAGAAATACTTTTTGAGCCAGATGGGGTTAGACTGGAACCAGAGAGAGATTGAGCAAGGAAGAAAAAAGAATAATCCAAAGCAGAGTGGAAAAGAAGGCCCCTGCTGGTCTGGCAAGAACTGTGGAACATTCTCCTGATATGAACCCTGCAGAAGCTTGAGAACTGATGGGAACACAAGGCGGCAGGTGATTTGTGCACTCCATGCCAAACATAATGCGGACACCAGGCGGCTGATGGTGAGGCAGATTTCATCCCCATGGAGCCCAGTGTTTCAGCAGGAACAGGTCAGTCACTGAGTCACTGCGCTCTGCTGGATCCATAGGACCAACGCCTGGCATCGAGTCTAACGCTTAACTTTCAGAATGTTTTATTTTCATGCTGTGTCATGGCAAAGCTGCTTAATACAGGGTGTTACTGCCAAAGGATCCACTTTGTCAACTTTTCCTTTCGAGCATCATAACTTTAATGTTTTTAACTGAAGAACTTTTACCATGTAACAAGGATATTTGAGATGGAAATATCTTGGCTGAAAATGTCATGCAAAATCTTTCTCACAAAATCGCAATTGATTTCCAGGTTTATTGTGAAGCAGAGTTTGTGTCTTTCTGCATCAGATAAGAATCTTGCTGTATGTCAGTTTTGATGCAGTCGATCTTTAACTGCATGGCAGTTGAAAGAGTCAGGATCAGTCGCTGCAGGATAAGAATCTGCATTAAAAACTGAGTGTACAATCCAAACTAATTGCTTTGCATGTTATTGTTTTAAATTATCTTGTGTACATTTTTGCAGAAATGACTCTGCTTTCCTATTACATTTGGAGCTGTAGCTGTATATGAATCAGATCTGTTTGTTTTGCATGGTACTCTGGGATTATAACTGATGTAAATTGGCAGTATATAAATAAAACAGCATTGAATCCTTTTAATTCTGCTTTCAGCTGCAGGGACACTGCTGTTTAAAACTCTGAAGCTACATTTAGTGGTTTGCAAAGCTTCACTGCTCCCCAGGATGCATTTAATCTTCTCGATTATAGTTTAAGAGTTACCTTATATCAGTACGTGAACGTCTGAGTCATTAAGTCACTGTTCTGTAAAGTCCTAAACATAAAGATTGTTAGGGATTATTACATTTGTGGAGCTCAGTTACATGTTTAGACAGGAAATCTTACAGAGGATTCCACCGCGGGAAAAAAAACTTAGAGTTGGATATGCATTTTGCAGTGGGGGAACAGCATTGCAGTGGACGCCCATGTGCTGAACATTTATATTTGTTACCATGGCGAACCTTCAAGATGGATCTTTGACACTGAAATTAAACTACACAGAACTGACCAAGTGATTCTGGACGTGTTGACAGAGCAGATTAGCATGAATGGTGATTGGGTGGAGAGATTCTGATCATTTCTAAAAGGAATATAATCCACCCTTCCTTTACTCCCCCCTCCTTCTTTCTCTCTTTTTCTCTCTCTTCCTCTCTCTCTCTCTCTTTGAGTCCCAGCCCCTGAAGGTGTCATAACTGTGCTCTCTCTCCCTCTCTCTCACTCACTCACTCACTCCCGATCACCGCCTTTCAGATCTTTAAAAGCTGGCGCTTTGCTGTGTCTCTCTCAATCTCCATTTGTGTCCTCTGGCACTGCAGGGGGACTCAGCCGGCAAAGCGCCAAGGAAATCTACTGTTTTAGGAGCAGGAAACGGACGCAGGAAAGCAGGGAAAAAAAAAAAAGACAAGAGTGATATACATCCAGAAATAGCATCGACCACATTTAACTGACAGGGAGTGACAGTGTGCAGAACCTGAGACCTGAACAGAAGATGCCTCTCCTTTCTAACTTAACGGCTGTTGTGTTGCTGCTGATCGCCCACTGCGGATCCTGGGCCGGGGGAAGCCGCTGGGGGCCCTTCAAGGTCTGTCCCTCCTGCAAGGACCCCCTGGGGGCGGGCCGGCCCCCGAGGGACCACGACGTCGCCGGCAGCACGACAGTTTTGGCCCAGGGGGAGCCGTGTGGCGTGTACACCCTGAGCTGTGCCAAGGGGCTCCGCTGCGTGCCCCCACCCAGGGAGCACAGCCCCCTGCAGGCTCTGTTGCAGGGACGAGGCGTTTGCGCCAAGCACATCAGAACTAGTCCCACCGAGAAGCCCCACCCCACAGGTAAGACACAAGTGCATGAAATCACATAAAGACTCAGCTTGACTCAGCTTGACATTTAGTGTTATATTACAATGGATACTGCACGCATTTCTGCAGACTCGCTCTTTTATTGCATGCATGTGATGCTGTGTCACCAGTTAGTGTCTAGCCAACGCATCTCTGGAATCACCATAGATAGAAACTCATTCATGATTCTGCTGCTTTGAAGAAACTATTACACTCTTGGTTCAGTTTCAGCATCAGTTTGCCTGTAAAGATGTAAATGCTTGCATTTATTTAAATGATTTTAGGGTTATTTTTTTAGCTGTAACACATCCAGATGTATCATCCATTGCCAATGCCAGGGCTCATGACAATGATTTGTCCTACAACTCAGCCTCTCCGTAGGGAATTCGGATGGAATGTGAAACTGTCACAGTGTCACCTACATCCTGATCAGGCTGCTATTTATTGCAGTGATCACCATCTGCTGTTCAAACTGAGATACTGCGATTAACCGGCATGAAAAAAGGGAGCGTACTGATGGTAATCAATGCTCAGTCACAGCTGGAGGTCTTCAGCAGACTTGTTTAGCGCAAAGATACAGCAGTCCATCGCAAATTGTAAAATAAATTGATAAATGGAGAGTGCTGCTGTTTTAATGTCACATTCTCATCATGGCGTTTCCTTTCCTCCCAGGTCCACATCCCTCACACTTTGGCGACCTTGAAAAAGTAAGTTTAAGCCCTTCTTGTATATCTCTGCAAAGTAAAAAAAAAAAAAAGAAAGATGCAGTGCAATTCATTTCCTCACGGATCCGCTGCTGTTCAGGGTGTTGCAGCGACATGTACACACGCTGCTCACACGCCATGCATTATGGTGCATGATGTGTGTGCTGCTATGCGGCAGAACTAATTGAGCATGATGTGAATCAGGAAAGTTTGGACTCGGCTGCTGCAGCCATAGATTTATTTCAAACAGAAGAGAAGTCTGTATGTTCAGAAGTGGTGTGTGTGTTGCTGAAAGAGATGACACAGTCACATTTCACACCAGAAAATGCACAGTCATTTCTGTGACCTGAAAAGCTGAAGCATTGTATAACAAAACGTTATATAATGTGACACAATATGTGACATCTGATACACATAAATGATCCTGCTTGTTACGATGCAAAACGGCTGCTAATCCAACACCGACGGAGGATTTCTGAGGGGAGCCAGGAGCTTTTAAATGCCACCCAGTCTGTCTTTGCCTCCCTGGGGCTTTTAAAGTCGCCCTCTGCATTGCTCTTTTTCCAGGCACCCTGTCGCAAGCTGCTCAACAGCGTCCTGAGGGGACTGGAGCTGACGGTCTTCCAGTCTGACCGCGACATCTACATTCCCAACTGTGACACCCGGGGCTTCTACAGGAAAAAGCAGGTAGAGGTTTCTAGGTCTTTACTCTGTTCAGTGTTGCACAATTTGCATGAGTGCATGGGGGATTTTTTTTTTTATTTTACTCCTTTTTACCCTAAATAAAATCCAGTAAAACCATTTATATGTGTGCAAACATGATAGATGCAGCATCATGCTGTGGGGGGGATGCTGGAAATCCTAAACAACTTAAAATAATGGAAATAACCACATTCATGTTTTGGAAATGGCCCAGTCAAAGTCCAGACCTAAATCCAAGTGAGGTAATGCTTTAAAAATGAGTATCAACACAGAGCTTCCAAACTTTTCCATGTCATTTCCCTCAAAACTGCATTAGCTTCTAACTGGAGATCCCCTTTGCAAATCCACAGACAATGCTGCTGCAAAATATTTAAATTAACATCAATTTTCAGAATTCTTTGTTCCTCGCTTTTATTCACTATCTGTTTAATGCTGCCTCACATCTTCTGATTTTAGTCGGCCGTGAGTTATTGAGGTTTTTTCCAGAGGTATCCTCCACAGCAGGGCTGCTGGACGGTTCCTTCTGCCTGTTTCTTGTCAGAAACTTTTCCATTTCATGCTGCTACGCTAGCTGGAAGAGCAAAGCAGCTTAATTTTGAGCCAGTCATAAGGATACGCAGTGTAAATAACATTTCAATGTTATATTAATTTACATTTTATAATTATGATTAAAAAACAGGTTAAAAATTATAGGTGACCCTTCAACTTTCTGAGCTTATCTAGCGCCCTCTTGTGGCCCAACCTTGAAAAACAAAACTCATCTAATGGAAGGAAGGATGGGAGAAACCTTGCAGTATTGATTATACAAAGTGTTGACTCGGACAGGCTTAACACAACTGCATGCCACACTTTTAAGATTTTCCATTGCTTTTTTGTCAGACCATCAGGTAAATCATCATTAAGTTTCATTTAAAAAGTCTTAAATTGTCCTAAGTTCATTGAGAAAAAAATGACTTTAAATACGTTATTCATAGCTCTTAAATTTTGTTGTTGAAGGCCTATTTAATCTGAAATATTATATCTAGTTTTATTTATTTTTCCTTACGGGTCTTTACTATTACCCAAATCTTTGAGTAACTGAAACATTTTCACTACATTCTGTGACTCGAGGCAGTAGCGGCTACCGCTAGCTTGATAGGGTAAAAGCTAGTTAGCTTCTTTACCACCATCATGGCTAAATGCAGGTTTACTTATGTTGCCAGCCCATATGATTTATTTATTTAAGATTTTTTTTCTTTTGTACATTTCAGTAGTGATACAAATCTTCAAGCTTATGCAACATTCACATTTTGCACATTTTTGTACTTCCATTTGGGTCTCAACAGCTTCTAAAAATAGTTCAAGTGCTTAAAAAAAGTCATCCAGCTGTTTTTGTTTTAGTTGATGTTTTTTGAAGTATGGAAAACAAGCCGTTTCAAAAAAACCTCCTGATTGTTGAGTCATACTGTGCCGTTACCTAGCAACCCCAGCCGAGTTCTGCCCATCACCTAGCAACCGTATCTGAGCTCCAGCACGCTTAGTCAGCTGGTTTAACCACTTTATGCTCTGGAAAATGGCTGCTGGAAACATCTTGGAAACCACCAGCTACATTTCTGTTGGTTGTGCAGGAGGCTCTACTAAAGCTTTTCAAAGATGGACGGTTGTAGAATTGTGCTTCTGTCTTCAGCTATTTTCACATGAGAATGTAAATGTTTTGTATAACTTATAACTGATAGACCTGTTAAAGGAAGGCACCATTAATTTTTTTTTTCTAATGGCCTTAATAAAGGTCTTAAAACGTCTTACACTTGATTTGGTGAAACCTTCAGAAACCCTGTAAATTCCAAAGAAAATACATGAAAAAGTACATTTTTGTGTCCATTTCTTTCTCTCTCCTCATAGTGCCGCTCCTCCAAGGGCATGCAGCGTGGCCACTGCTGGTGCGTAGACGAGCTCGGTGCACCCGTGCCTTCCCGTGCCAGAGAGGACGGCACTTTACCATGCGATGGGGAGTGAGGGACGCGTCTGCCCGACTGCTCTGAGCCTGGAGAAGAAGAAGAAGGAGGTGGTGGTGGTTGATGGGTGGAGGAGCTGGAGCACCGGGAGAAGAGGGCGGGTGGCTTTAGCATGTGCTAGACACTGCCTGGACAGGAGGTAACAGGGATAAACCACTCCGTATGGGGAAAATACACATTCATGCCCTCTCTTTCGCTCTGTTTCTTGTCTCTTGCAGCAAGATACTCTCTTTTATGGTCAAGCATCAGCAACAGTAACATCTGCCTGAATGTCAAACAGCTGCAGCAGCGTCCTCTGCCTAGTCTCGGTGACATGCTGCATGCTCGTGTTAATGCTCCGTGAACTGCCTCAGCGATGATTTAAAGACAAAACAAAAACAAAAACAGCCTCCGTATTCCCTGACTCTTGTCCCGGCTTTTCTCCTCTTTTTCTTCCTTTTTCACTTTTTAGGGATAGCTGACACTGCCTGTGTTTGTTCTGATCTCAGTGGGCTGAAATACTGTTACACAGGTGATGTGACACAAAAACGTCTGGAAAAAAAAATTTTAAATTAAAAATGTGTCTCCCTCACCGTCCTCTTTCTCCCGCTCTCCAAAGATACACTGATATCGCCATAAATGACAGAAAAATACTTCTTTTTTTTATTATTAACTTATTTTTGATTATGTATTGCCATCAATTACTGCTTGAATCCTATAGTATCAAATATATATAGATATACAAATACATGTCAAGTCAGAAAAAATATCTATAAGAGTGCATTGGTTCATTCTGACTGCCTATCAGTTGTTTCTTTGTACATATGTTTCATTTTTGTGGTGAAGTGGCAGACAAAAAGCTTACAGCTGTTACTCTTTTAAAAAAAAGTTGTAAGGCATATTTTTCTACACGTCAGTATAATATTTTATATATATAAATAAATATATATATGAATTGTTGATTTATTTAATGAAGCTACAATACAATGCCATGTATTTTTATATTGTCAGCAGTTTCTTATTTAAATACAGAGATTATTTTATTTCATGTCGGGGTGAAGACGCCTTTTTGGACCACAATGCATTCATTAGAGCTCCATTCAACTGCTGTACATGACATGTAACGGTTTTAACTCATGTTTATCTCTTAATTTTTTCCTTTTATTTATGTTTTTTAAGGGGTTAAGAATGAGAATGATTATTCTTTGTTTTATTTCGGCAAGTCAAAACATAATTTTTTTATTTCAGTACAAGAAAAGAGCAGAAAAAAATAAGATTTATTAGTGTTATGGTATGTCTCTGCTGCGTCCTTGCAAAAGTCCCCCAAAATCTGTGTGCTACTAAATGAAATTAATGCTGTTTCTGACCAATCTTGTTGTGCCAGTGTGTGTGCTGTGGTGATAGGTCTCTGCACAGAGGACCTGTAAAACATTTGCAAATACAAAAATAAAACATGACAGTAAAAATGGAGAAGAATAAACATATATTAATAGAACGTCTGGTGTTGAGTGTTTTCTTTTGTTTCACCAAAGCTGAGCCAAATAAAACAGCATCACTACTGTAGCTTAACAGAAACTACAGTAGAAATAGAGTTGCAGCAATATTGTAAAAAATGTTTGTTGAAAGTTTTTTCACATCAATATGGGGTATTGATAAGGTCATAAACAATGATTAGTTCAGTTTTGCAGATACAGATTCTGCAGCAAGTAAGTAATGCCACGCTGTTTAATTTTATTTAATTACATGCATAATACAACTACTATCACATGCAGTAATATCAATATCAAATAAATTCAGAAACAGTTTATTGGACCCTCATAATATCACCAAGAAAAATCCTTTCACTGAACTGGAAATCAGAAACTTCACTAAGTTTTTAGTCTGTGCCCTAAGTTACTTATAACTTGTAAATCTAAACGTCAAAGTTATGATGTTGAAAGTCAAAATTATGATGTTGAAAGTTGAAGTCATGTTGAAGTCAAGCATATGGATTTTAAAATTGAAACTATAACTTTACATCTCAAAATTATAACTTTGAAAGTCATTTATGATGTTGAAAATTGTAATTATGACTTTAAAATTCAAAATTATAACTGAAGGTCAAAATTATAATGTTCAAAGTTGAAATTATGATCAAAAATTGAAATTTTGACTTTGAAAGTCTAAATTATGATTTTGAAAGGAAGTGTGACTTTGAAAATTAAACATATGACTTTGAAATCATAACTTTAAATCTCAAAATTATGACTTTACAAGTCAAAGTTATGATGTTAAGATTGAAAAATTTGTTTAAAGTTGAAATTATGACTTTGAAAGTGGAAATTATGATGTTGAAACATGGAATTAAATCTGAAAACTATGATAAGATCTCAAAATTCTGGTTTTGTATAGTCATGACTTCAAGTGGCAGCAATGGACTTCCATAAATTTCCGTGGAATAATCAAAAAACAAACACACAAAATAATATGTAAGTCCCCGCCCACATTTGGGTCACCTGACTACAAAAGATGGATTTTGATTGGTCCCTGACAGCTGTCAATTATACAGTCACCACTTGTTCAACTGAAAATAACGCGGTTGAGCTCGAGGTGGCAGTGGTGGACTGTGAACTGTCAGTGAGGTTAAGAAAACACTTCTGTTGTGGTTATGGGAGACTGAGTACTGGTTCATGTAGATGGCTTAAACGTTAAACTGAACCCTGGAAGAAGCAGTGTCTGTTAGAGCGGTCAGAGCTTAGGCGCTTGAACTTTGATTGTTACAGTCAGCGGCGCGTGAAGGAGCCGTTAAACCATCATCAGGAAGGAGAAGACGCGTCACCGCCCGCTCGGAGCTCTCTCTCTCTCGACAGGGGACGACAGAACACGGTCCGCGGCCATGGCTGCCCTCGGTAACTCGGGGACTGTTACGTCCAGTCCGATGGTGGTCCTGGCGCCCAAGACGAAGACGAAGAAGAAGCACTTTGTTCAGCAGAAGGTGAAAGTGTTTCGAGCCAGCGAGCCCATCGTGAGCGTGTTCATCTGGGGCGTGAATCACTCGGTGAGTCGGTGGAAGCTAACGTTTCACTACATGCTAATCACCTCAGTTGGAATGTGCTAACTCGGTGTAGCTTCGGTGTTAGCATCAGAGACAACCTCACTCTTTTATAATGTTTTGGAGAGATGACAGCAGAATCTGTGACATGACAGATTGGAAACTTGGTCATCTTTAAAAGAATTAATAACTAACATGTCTTTATGACACAAAGGGAGTGATCTGATCTGTGGGTTGTTATTTTAGTTTACACAGGCGCTTATGGGACTTAGACTGTGTTTATTTTGAACTTAGCATTAAGTTACAGTTTAAATACCATAAATTCCTTCTTTTATTTTTGTTAAAATATGTATTTTAGGAGTAGGCTTAATATTTTCACATTTATCATCAGATTTCTCGCTTGGCAGTTTGAAAAATATGTCAACATTTTAACTATTTCTTTATTTACCATTTATATTATTACAAAACTATTAATTGTAAATGTATATAACTAACTTGTCTGTGACGCAATAAATAGTCAAACTCCTAAAAAATATTTAATTTTACAGCTTTTTAAGGGTCACTGCTCCTGATCTCAACACTTCCCCTACTAAAACAAAGTTGTTTATTCATGAGGTTGATCATTGTGTTTTTTACTTTATGGACAGAGCTTTTATGTTTTTAGACTTTGAAGCTCTACTGTAGGGCTGTACTGTGTTGGAAAAACCTGATACTACAGTGTTATTGTTAATATCATATAAAATGTAACTAAAAACTCATTTTTCCCACTTTGCCTTTTATTTTCTGTTATAACAATACTTGGTGAAAGGAATTCTTTTTAAGTTGCATGGAAAAATGATTGCTACTATTGAAGCACTTTTTTTGTTTTGTTTCTTTCTGGTAAAATTTATTGTTGCCAGTACAACAGCAACATTGCACTAGGTTGGAGCACAGATCCAATGTCAAAGGTCGACCTGCATGTTTCAGATGTTTCCCTGGATCAGCAAACTTAAATTAAAACATGCTAAAACATTCTCCAGAAATGAAATGGAAAAATGTTGAGGAGGTAATGTCACCATTTGAATCAGCTGTGTAGGAACAGGGACACATGTAAAGCATGTAGGTCACTGGCCCCTAAGGACTGGAGTTGGACACTCCTGCTCTTGTCTTATCCTCTTCAGCTCAATCATGCTAAATTCTGGGATAAAGTCTCAGAGTTTAGCTAATTCTAACAGTTTTTGTGGGATTTTTGGAGCCTAAGATGCTGCTATTAGCTGCAGTTCTCACTGATTATCCTCTTCACAAAGTGGTTGGGATATCAATAAGGATTCTTATTAAACTTGTAGGACAATATATCCATAAAATAAGTGCTTATGGGAGGCTATATTTTTAGTAGCAGTTATGCTAAAGCTCACAGAGTGTGGTAGGGAGTTTATGATTATAGAAACAAAAGAAAACTGTGAAATTGGCATCAAAATGCTTTTGTAATAACATGTTTGGATGATTTTATGCAGCTCTAGTCCTTGTCTAGCTTAGTCACTACAAGGTTAAATTGAAGGGATTGTTCCACATTTATTTTCATTAAACTTGGATTTTGTTTTAGAAAATTTAATGCAAGATGCAGCAGGATATTTTTTTTACACATTTTCACAGGGTTGCCAGTAAATATTACTATTACTGTAGCATATATGTTTGTGATTTTTTTTCAGTGTAATTTCATCAATATCTCTAGAATATTTTAACACTTGAGGAGAGAAATGACAACTTTTGAAAAATGCAAATTTATAAAAACATTTAAAAAGTAAATAAAAAACAGAAGTGGCAGATGTTAAAGTCTAATTATGGGTGTAGGAAATGTTCATGTTGCACCCAGCTGTTACCATTTAGTCCTGACCTACTTCCATTTTGTGATCATGCAGTTCTTTTGGGAGTAAAACATTTTAATCAGATTTAAACAGAACAGTTTTTTTTAAAGATGCTCCTATGTGAATTATTTAGTTTATCACAGAAATTTATCTTCCACCTGTTTTATGCTGTGGTTCCAGTATAAAAATGTTAACTTGAATAGCTTATTCAAGCTATTTAACAATATTGCAATATTTAACAGCAGTGTGCTTGTGGCAACATTTTAATTATTGGGAATAAACAGAAAAGACAAAATAGTAAAAAATAGTTAAAAACTGGAGTTCAACTAATATTTCAGGGAGAAATAGAAAACATGATTTGTTTATAAAAGGAAATGTTACAAAGGAAACTTTTTTCAAAATGAATATCTACTATAGAAAATTTCTGAACAAGCATTTTATTTCCATTTAAAAAAACATTTACAAAAATAAGATTGATTCATTTTCTCAGGAGGGTGGTTGGTGGAAAAGGAGGAAAAAAAATCATCATAATAAGAAGAAAAAATGCTGATACTTGTAATTTTTTTGTGGAAATTCAATACTGGATTTTAAAAAAGAAGCTGTTAAAATCTGCATTAAAATCTCTATCTATATTTCAGATGATTTGTTGGTTCTGCACTTTTTTAGCCAAATATCAAGAGCCACTGTGAAAGGTCCAAAGAGCCTTAGAGCAAGCCTGAGCTAGAAAATATCAGAATAACCTAATTTTCCAACTCCGGTCCTTAAGGGTTGGTTTCCTGCAGGGTTTACATTTGTCCTTGTTCCAACACAGTGTTTTAAATTGCTAAATTACCTCTTCAATATATATACTGCTCAAAAAAATAAAGGGAACATTTCACTTTAATTTTGTGTGTGGCTCCAAATCCAGGCCTCCATTGGTTAATAAATTTGATTTCCATTGATGATTTTTGTGTGATTTTGTTGTCAGTTTTTTCATCTTTGTACAGAACAAAGTATGCAATGAGAATATTTAATTCATTCAGATCTAGGATGTGTTATTTGAGTGTTCCCTTTATTTTTTTTGAGCAGTGTATTTCGCCGGTAAAACACTGTCATCCAACATCCCACCCCAAACCTTTAATTTGTGTACATGTCTGTTCTTTGTGTAGATCAATGATCTCAGCCAGGTTCCTGTTCCCGTCATGCTCCTGCCTGATGACTTCAAAGCCAACACTAAGGTCAAGGTCAACAACCACCTCTTCAACAAGTGAGACACTCACTCTTATACTTTTTGTAAGGACCATCAGGCGGATTAATGTTCTAACATTTTCACCTCCTCTCCTTTCATCAGAGAAAACCTTCCCGGACATTTTAAGTTCAAAGAATACTGTCCTCAGGTTTTCCGAAATCTAAGGGAACGTTTTGGTATCGAGGATCTGGACTATCAGGTGAGAATGTTTAAATTATTTCCCATACGATACATGAAACGTCCTCGTTTTCTGACTTTGTGCTGTTTGTTGTTTTCTCCTCAGGTGTCTTTAACCCGCAGCCCCCCGGTGAGAAGTGCAGACGATCAGGGAGAGAGTCTCCTCCTCAACTCCTATGACCGAACTCTTGTCATCAAGCAGATCTCCAGCGAAGACGTTGCAGATATGCACAACATTCTGTCAGAGTATCACCAGGTAACTGAAGCACTTAAATACCTCCTACCTTCTGTCAGGTGCATTTTCATTTTTCATTTTATTTTTTATTTCATTCGCTCAACAATAAATATGAATAGTTAATACAACAACTAAAAGAAACCATGAATGGAAAGGAGCAGAAGGAAGTATATACTTGCAATATACAAAGAATATTAAGTTTTCAGCTCAGAAAAATGTTTCAGATAAATACAAATAAACAAAAAAAATATTAAAATGCAGAAAGAGGTTTAGATTGTTCCATAAACTGACACCTCTAATTGAAATTAAAATGCATATTTCCATTATTGCTGTTCTGAATCCATTTTTTTTATTTATTTAATTTTCTTCTAAGGTATATATTAATTTTTTTTTTTACATTAATTTGCATACACTGAAGGAATGAAATGATTTATCAAACAAACAAAACAATATGCTTAGCTTGGTTGCAGCTTGGCTAGGTCATCCGTTAAGCAGCCGCTACATTCATGATGCTATACCCAATGTGAATAGCTGGTTGTCATGGTGACTAATAACCAGGAGTGATTGGTTTATCTGTAGAGAGATTATCAGTTACAGCTACATCAGTACCTACTGTACTGATGTTCACTATTTAAACTGTTTACAATTCGACTAATAAAATTATTTACAGCTCGTACAGTCAGCAAGATGGATGCAGGTAACCATGGCAACCAGTGACAGTTTCAGTTAAAAACCCAGATATACCTCAATACGCACAGTGGAAGCCATTTTGGCACTAAAGCAGAAGGTATCATCTTCAGTCTGGAGGTTGAGCCAATCAGCAGCAGGGGAAATTTATTCCTCCTCTGGATTGGCTGCTTTGAAGATGTCAGCCAATGATGGCATGTCAAGTTGCATCACCTTTGATATCTCAGCTTTTCTGCATTTTCATTTGAGTATTTTATAAATGCACTGCAGAAAAAAATCTGGATATATATTCCACTTAAAAATGCTGACTAAAATTGAACAAGCCAATGTGATCAATCAGTAAATTTAACAAAAAAATTTAATTGATTAATTAAAATAAAAAAATTCTCAGGCAGCAAGTTTGCATATTTGTTTTTTTTTTTAAGTAAGGTTAACTAATTAGGTTTTACAGTGTGTTAGCTGAGCTCTGGCCCAGGGGGAATGTAGATTATAAAGTTTCCCAGCCCCGATAAAACACCTGACGAGTTGTTGAAACATCTCATGACATTGAAATTAGTGAAACTAATTAGTTTGGCAATCTGACCTCTTTTGCTGTTAACCTTTGACCTCAGCAGTTAGAGAACCCAAGGCTTCTTTTGTTTCCTTTATAAAAAATAACTTGCATAGGTTCTCCTTGTTTTTACAAGCAATTCTAGGCCGATCATAAAAACCACGCAGGTTGATTGCAGTGACTCTGAACGCTTCACACCTTCTCAGGACTGCAGACGCCACATCTGTCATGTGTTGCCTCCCCCTGGGAGTGTGCATGCCTGCTGCAGGAGGTTTGTTCCAGTGAGAATCAGTGAGGCCTGTTGAGCAGATGTGGGACCAGCTGTGGTTCAACCTACAAATCAGATTTAGAATTGGTTGTTAAAAATGTCTGCTGAGGGTAAACGTGCAAAATCCTTCTCCTCCGCTTAATTAGGAGTCTTCGTTTATGTGTTTGAGCATGAGTAAGCAGTCAGGAATGCTGTTTTTATTGCTCTGAGTGATTGCAGAAGTTTGTAATCTAGTAAGTGTGTGCTGATGCGCCTTTTAAAGAAAAGCAAAAAGTAATTTAATAGAAAATCCTCCAAAGGCTCAGAAATCAGAGCGTAGCTGCAGCCATGCATATATTTGGCTCAGATTTTGCTTTTTTGCTTTTTTTTTCGCTCTTCCTATACATTTGTTGCATGTCTACTCAGCCTAAATAGAATCATTTATAGACGCTGCAGCATATTATTGCTGTGAAAACGTAGATGTCTAGATGTTAGATATTGTCAGGCTTTTAAAGTTGGATTTGAATCTCCTCTGCAGGCTGAATGTTGTGGCTTTGTGTCACAAGACCAGCAACAAATACTCTTGTGTGTGATTGTTGGTATTTTGAAAATATTTAAATGTTCATCTATTTTTAAGTCAGAGGGAAATGAGCAAGGTTTCCCTCTTTGCTCTGTGTTTGTTGCAGATTTTGAGACCTGCAGATCTTTTAAGTCAGGCTATGAAGTGGAAACAGTTGAATCTGGCCTTTGTTTTGTTGTAGAATGAGGATGTTGGCATTCACAACAAACTTCCTTGGGGAAACGGAAACGATGTGCAGATCTCATTGTTGTGTGTGGAACTACTGAACCTCCCTAGTGCATCATCCAAACTTCCATTTTCTCCCACAGTCAAACCAATTATGGACTGTTTTATTGTTTTCATTTTTGTTGTACCCTCTGATTTGTATGAATCTATTGCTACAACTTTTAGGGTGCGTTCACACCAGCCCTGTTTAGTCGACTTTAATGAAACTCCAGTTCATTTGCCTAGAAAGTCTGGTTTGTTTTGAGGAGGTGTGAACCAAAAAATGTAACTCTGGTTCCCTAGAAACCTCAGTCTGGATTCGGCTGAAGTGAACTCTGATGCGGTTTGAATGTACATGTGAATGCCAATCAGACAGGAAACCGCTGCAAAAGCAGGAAGTAGACTGCAGCACAGGGCATTCTGGGTAAATACAAACAAAACAAACACAGGAGTAGCGCTAATTGGAGAAGTGACTCAGTTTTTACTAAAGACGAAAGAGAAATTTTACAACTGCTAAAATCTGACACCACTCCATTTTTGTAGAAGGAAATTGCCCTCAGTGTCGTCTTCAAATGTTTTTGTGTCGTTTCCTTTGGTGGTTCTTGGTGCAGCGCCCCCACAGGCGAGGGCGGGAACAAGTTTTCCAAAGGGTTTGGTTTGTTTGACAGAGCAGTGTGAAAGAGAACCGCATCAGCTGAAAATGTAGCAAATGCTGCAATTTTAGAGACCCTTAGGTGCACTTCAACAAATAGACAAAAAATATCATTTGGAAACATTGATGCAACAATTACTTGATTTATACTCATAAATGCCCATCTGGGGACTTGCACTGCAAATAAGCTAAGACTATAAACATTATTGTTTATACTTACCATGCAAATAAACAATAAAGACATAAGGTGGCTGGAGCTACAAAAATCAATCAGGAGGAATAGAACAGAATTCTAGCAAACTGTATTGAGATGCTTTTCGAAGGAATTTATAAAATATTATTTTCTATCAAATAAAAAGGAAGTGTTTTGTATGTAAACTCGTAAATTGGAAAAATTCTGCAAAGTGATTAGTATAATCCTAACCAGCCTTTATTTTGTTCTGCTTTTGCCAATTCAGTTAGAATAACATTTTATGCTCAAGATCTTCCCGACTTTGCCTCCATTTTAAAATCCTTTGTCTTGTGTGTGTGTAATGAGAGCTGATTCAGGTAAAGTGACATAAATCTACATGTACACTAGTTTAAAATGCCTGCTTTTTCTGCCTTTAGCACATCGTGAAGTGCCACGGCAGCACGCTGCTGCCCCAGTTCCTGGGAATGTACCGAGTGAGCGTTGACAGCGAGGAGGCGTACCTCATCGTCATGAGGAACATGTTCAGCCACAGGCTGGTGGTGCACAGGAAGTACGACCTGAAGGTAAGGAGGAACCCCGGGCGTTGGCTCAAACCGTACCGGTTCTTAAAGTAAAGAGGAAGTCGGAAAGTTTTCTGTTGATTTAACAAAGGGTTTAAACAAATAATAAAAAGACATTCAGCTGTCTCAAATACTCTGCCTAAGGTCTTGCATGTCATTGACTAAAGAACTTAAAAAATAAATGGCTAAAATGTCATTTTCATAACAGAAATAGTCAAACTGTCTGCTGTTTACAGGGCTCTCTGGTTGATCGTGAAGCAAGTGACAAAGAAAGGGTAAGCATATCTTTTTAGCATCAATTCATGCTAAAGTTATGTATAAAATGTCTGAACTGTGTTTGATGCGAAGGAAAAAGAGCTTCCAACCTTTAAGGACATGGACTTCAGGAACAACATGCAGAAGGTATACGTTACAGACGAGGAGAAGGAGAAGTTCATGGAGAAACTCAACAAAGATGTAGAGGTGAGCGTTTAAAAGCCGATAATTATCTCCACTTTGCAGCAGAAGGAGGAAAACCGAAGCTGCACCGCTGCTTTACAGGATCAAGATGTCAGATCTGAAACACTATATCTGCTAAACAGAGAAATTTAGATGTTACTAAACTACTGAATCAGTCAAATTTTATTTACAGAGAAATTTAATTATGGAGAAAATGTCACGGAAAACAGCCTTATCAAGTAAAACGATCAACAAAACATAACTGATAACATGGTATATATTGAGGAACTAGAATAAAACGATTACAGAAATCATAATCCTATCATACCAGAAATGCTCTTACTGATATGACAAAAAAAAAACATAAAACTGTCATTTGATATTTGGAATAATACAGAAGATTTTATTTAAATGGTAAATAATCTTAATTTTAAGAGGTGTGCCTGAGTGACATGGTTCTGTATTTGTGATGAAATGTTTTACACAATTGGAGAATCCAACTGCTTTTCCACTGTCTGACCTACAGATGGCAGCACTGAGACAGTTTTTGGCAAAATAATGAGGAACAAAACAAATTCACACAAAAATCTCTTAATTAAATTAAAACATGGAACCCTAAATTTAATTTGATTTATGGACTTATCAAACAAAATAAAATGCCATAGACAAACCACTGATGACCTTAATGTTCTATAGATGAGATTATTAAAATAATGTATAAAAGTAAGAGCAGGTTTATGAATTTCAATTAAGACTTGCAGTCGGTTTATAAATATTAAGATTTTAATGTGGATGTTGATACATTTCTGTGGTTTGTTGGTAAAATTTTACCGTTTCTGAAAACTGTTGGCTTCACTTTATTTGTATCTTGTATTTAAGTTTAGAAATTACATTAGCTTTCTGTCTCAGTGACTCTGTCGATTATTGATGCCCAATACCAAAACTGCCTTTATTTCCCTTCCTTCATGTTTTATTTTAAATCCTCTGAGCAAACCGTTTTATTTCCTCTCGTCCAGTTCCTGGTGAAGCTGAAGATCATGGACTACAGCCTGTTGCTCGGCATCCATGACATCGGCCGAGCCGAGCGGGAGGAGGAGGAGAGCGGGGAGGTGTCCAACGAGGAGGAAGCCGAGTCGGAGAACGGGCTGGCTCCGGGCCCCGCCGCAGGTTCTTACGGAACGTCTCCTGAAGGGATCGCTGGTTACATGTCGTCCTGCAAGCCTCTGGGGCCGGGCGAGTTCGACCCCTATGTGGATGTTTACGCCCTCCGGAGCTGCCCAGGTGAAAAAGTTAGCATGTTAACTGCATGTTTAGATGGAGTAAGCTTTAGTTGAGTCTTTAATGCAATAAACATGGTCTGAAACGATTAATCCGATTCATCGTGATTAATTGATATAATCGTTAGCTAATATTCTAATCGACTGATCATTTAGTGAAGTATACAGTTTTAAAAAAAGCCAAAAGCCAAAATATATTGAATTTAAAACAAAAAATCTGTTTGTTTTTCAAAAATGTTCTGCCCTGAACTGTGTGGCATAGTTTTTGCTTCACCTGGTACAATTTCTGTTTAAAAAGAAAAAAAAAAATTAAACACCTTTCACTGTCCAAATATTAATCAGTTAATCCTAAAAAATAATTCACAGATTAGTGCTACACTGTACTGACGTTGATGAGCCTTCCACATGTTTATGTTGGTTATATGTTTTTAAACTGAAAATGCATCCTCTGCTATAAATTATCAGGAGTTCACTAAAGGAATGCTGTGTTATTGCACTTTAGGCAATAAAATGTTTTTTTTATTGAATTGTTTATTTGCATCTTCTGATATATTTATAATGTATAAAAAAGACTGAAGAACTTGAATAAAATATATGCAGAACTGATGATTTTTTTAATCTGCTATAATAATCTATAGATCAATCAATTGGTTGTGGCTCTGCAATAAACTCACAGTTTTTGGCTCCTTTTTCCTAACGCTCCTTGAGGTTCAGCATCTACATCTCTAATATCTGAATCCTGTAGGTCTGTACTTAATGATTATCTTAATAATTGATTAGTCTAATGATTAATAGAATAATCAGATAAAAATTTGACTCATTCTGAAGATTTTCTTTTAACCAACAAGAAGGTTTTTAAACAATGTTAGAAATACATTAAAAGATGCAAGCAAACTAGGTGAAGCTAAAACTTGATTCCACTTGAAGAGTTTTGGGCATTTTATATATATATATATATATATATATATATATATATATATATATATGTGTGTGTGTGTATATATAATGAACAGTTTTAACTTAATTATTGCTCTGAGTGTGTTCTTTCAGCAAATATCCTTGTTTTGATCCTACTCCAGTTAACGGTTAATCAATTGCTAAGTTAGTAGGCGATTATTTCAATAATTGATCGTTTGAGCCCTTAAATCAGAAGTGAACCTCCATCCAGCTGACTCTTCCTGCGTTTTAACCTCAGGCGCCCCGCAGAGGGAGGTCTACTTCATGGGCCTGATCGACGTTCTCACACAATACGATACCAAGAAGAAAGCCGCTCACGCCGCAAAAACGGTCAAACACGGGGTGAGTCAGTCGTTCTCTTCCACATCCTGTTCATACGGGTCCTTGAAATCCCTGAAAATGCTTAAATCCATAATATATAATTGATTAACATACAAAATATAACACAATCTTTTATTCAAGGTTATTGAAATTTGGGTATTTTTAAATTGTTTGTGTTTTGTTCTATAAGGTGTGTAGGAAACACTTTTCAAAACAAGATTTTGTTTTATTTGACATTTTTCCTGCTAGAGAATGTAAAAAAGCATGAAATGACATTATTAATAACAATAATAAATTATATTGCATTATTGTCTTCTTCTTGGTTCATTTGGATTATGTTTATCTCCTAAGTGTGTTCCTGGAAATTTACCTTGAAAATGCCTGAAAAGTTCTTGAATTTTTGCGTACGAACCGTTCGCGTTGCTCTTCTCTTCGCTCTGATTCTGAGCCGTTTATGTCTGCCGCAGGCCGGGGCTGAAATCTCCACGGTCCATCCTGAGCAGTACGCCAAACGCTTTCGGGACTTCATCTCGAAGATTTTTGCGTAAGCCTCCGCCTGCGGACGCTGCCAGAAGTCATTCCAGCCTTCGACTGTAGATCATCACTAGTATGCACACATGGATCAATATTTAAATTAGGTGACAAGACAAAACTTGTAGCATTATGAGGCATATATTTATTTTGAAGATATATATATATATTTCTTTAGGTATTGAACACTGTTGGGAACAGTAGTGTGTGTGGGAAATGGGAGCACTTTTGATCATGAACTGATGGGGGTTTGAATAGTTTTTTGTTTGTTTGGTTTTTTTTTTTCATTTTGGTTTTCAAACATTAAACTAAATAAAGTTACGATAAATAGTCAATGCACAATAAATATTTAGATTAATTTTTTCCAAAAGGAACTGCTCTGGTTTGGAGAGTCTGGTTGGATGTTTTCTTTTACTTCGTTTCCACTGAGTGGTACAGTGATAATATCCAAAAATATCAATATTGTTGATATAATAATACCTAACCTTTTGAATTAGGGAAACCTTACAATCAAGGTTTAGATTGCAACAATGTTATTCCAGGAATTCCAGGACGTTTAGCTTTACAGCTATATTCTCTGTACAATGGCTGCTGGAAAAGACAAGTGTTTTGTTGTTTACTTATCACCCAGAAGCCACTTGTTGCATTCTTGTTGGTTGTGCAGAAGGTTCCACTTCTCATTCAGCTCATTCTGACTAAAACTGTGATATCTAAAATGACTTTGTGCAAAACAAATGCAACGTAACATGTTCTGTGATCCATCCTAACCTGTTCAATGAAGCTTAATGCAACCGTGGAATGATTTGATTCAGTTCGCTTTTACACCGAAAGCAGACGAACCGCTCAGTCGAAACGAAGCGCTACATTGTGTGAAGTACGATCAATCGCTCGTGGTTGAATCTTGAAGGACTTCTGACAGCTGAGCCAAACATGAAGCTTAAAAACAGAAGCACAAGAGTGTCTTTGTTCCCAGTAACGTCTCAAACTTCCAATCTCGCCATATTTTAACTGAAAACAGACGCCAAAACAAAAATAACCTGCAAGAGTCACAGATACTCAGAACTGGTTAATTATGAACAGAGCTGAGCTGTTTGCTGCTTCCAGTCTTTATGCTAAGCTAAACATTTACCATTAGTTTGTGGAAACACAAGCCGTTTCCCAGAATTATTCCCTAAACCTTTAAATGAATAATAGATTTGTCATTTAGAATAAAGCAGCTTTTAGTAAACATTCATCCATAGAAGCAGGTATTTGTAGTTCTTAGTGCCAAAAGCTTTATCATAGCAGATATTTACATTTTGCCAATTAATCTGACCTTTTTTTGTTTTGTTTAAGGGGGGGAAGTTTGAAGGATCAAATACTAATTCTGCTGCATTTTTTATCTAAATTTGTAGCATGTTGTCAGAGATTGATGGAAACCAAGCAATCATATCTAAGCCTGTGAACATGTCTTCCAGCTGTTTAAGCCTCTGAACTAATGAGGAGCTCCTTTGTGAGGAGACTGGTCCAGATTCCGGGCCGCCGGGTCTCCATTCTGGTTCTGATTGAATAGTGTGGTGGTTTGTGCGTTTAAGTGGCAAATGTGTGTGTTATTATTCTGATTCAAGGTTAAAATTAGGCGATACTCTCTAGAGTCACACTACATTTTATCAGCTTGGCCTTAACACAGTGAGGTTTTGAGCTTTCCTGACAGCAGGTGAGGCAAAATGAATGCAGATGCTTCGTCTGTATGATGCCTCGTCTAAACGTTAGCTGCACATGATGTATTTTTTGCAAATTAGCTTTTGGACCAAATTATATTTTACAAAGATTTTTCCAGAATCCATTGGAACGCATTTCCCTGGGAAATGTGTGCGAGCGCTTGATGACTGGTGAAAATGAGTTCTGGATCTGCCAGTGGTTTTCAGAGTCCGGATTGACTTCGTGTGACACTTTCGTCTTAGAAATACCTCAAGTTTTTAAATGTCCAGAGGAGGAACGCTGTTGATTTTTGTTGTTGTTGTAAAACATGTACTCTGACATCATTCCTCTTATCCAGTGAATCATCTGTTCAACATGATTTTGACTTCTTCCTTTTGTGTCTGGATAACGTGTTTTTCATGTACTTTGTAAGCTAAAGTAAAAATGTGCAAGTGTCAGCTTTTACATGTAACAAAACTATTTTAGGGGGCAACGTATTAAACTTGTAAACTTTGTTTTTGCTTTTATTTGACACTAAAAACTGTCAGTTTTGTGTGAAGCATATGGAGTGATTTTATTTTATGTTTTCTTTGAATTTAAGGAGAAATAAACATTTTGTTCTGTTAATATGCTTGAATGAACAGTTGGTATCTAAACTTCCAGCAGACCCAAATTTATGCAATGACGCAGCTGATTTCAGCCTTTCACAGCTGAAATTAGTTTGTTTTTCTCCATGTTTCAGATGTTACAATAGGATATTTACAGTCTATAAACACTAGATGGCAGTTTAACATGTACACAGAACCCTCATGATCCCGATTTTTCCTCTCAAGTAACAGAAAGGGAAATTCAAGTTTTCTAAAAACTGAAAACACTCATAGGTGGAAAATTTAATTGGTAAGCAATGTTTAGTATTTTGCATCTTTATGGAGCTTCAAAAAAAGTAAAAAAAAAAAAAAGTAGGAGATAAGTATTGGATCCTCCTTTTGCGTATTTTTTTTTTTGTTAAACAGAAGAGGTAAACAGCCTGTCATGAACTTTAGCTTTAAAAATGTAGATCTGATGTTTTTGTAATCTTATACGAAGACATTCATTTATGGAAATATGATGAGCTGCCTTAACAGTTTGCCATTTATTCATCTAGATTACTTGGTTTTCAGTTACATAGGCCTGAAACAGTTTGATTAATCAATTACGGAAATATTCGTCAACTTATTTAGCAATCGACAGGTTGTACCGACTAAAACACGCAGTTTGCTGTTTTAGAATGTACAACATATTCAGAGTTAAGCCAAACCCGTTCAAGAAACTTATACATTTTGCATTTATGATGAAAAATCTTTTTTGTCTGCAAATATGTTCAACCCAAAACTCATTATTTAGCATATTAACTTTCCAGATTCAAATTCTCTGAATACAAAAATAAAAAATCCTATTGGGCAGCCTTTGGTATCCAATTAAATGAAAAAAGTAAATCACCGTATCACCCCCAACAGGTTGAGCTGTTCAAATGTTGATGCTTCCTTTGCTACAAATGATCAAACGTAAATATAATTTTATCGCATTTTAGACAATAAAATGTTTATTTCATAGTTGAGTTTGTTCACGTTTTATCGTGCATTTCTAATATTGTATAAAATAAGCTTCAGATGAGAAGGAAAAATCTGCAAAATGCGCCTCTTTTGTACGATTACTCAATTGATCGTCATAATAATCGATAGAATATTCAATTATTCATATAATCGTTAGCTGCAGCCCTGAATAAAAACATGCACAGGCATGTTTTCAGTTATTGATGGATTGTTTGGCGAAGAGATTACATTCCCCAACAACTTCTACGTGATTTTGACTCTTCTGTGGATTAGGAAAATAAAAAAATGTAGTTATCCAGTTATTGGATAACTACATTATCCAGTAACAGATCACTCTGGAAAGAGCGGTCTGTGCCACTCTTTCCAGGAAATTAGTTTTTTCTGACCGATTGTTGTTTTATAACAGGGAAGCGAATCTGTTGACAGGGTCCGAACCGTTTCACCAGAAAATCCGAGTGGGTGGGAAATGGAGACAGGCCGTGCAGAGAAACAAAGTTTGAGTGATTCATTCTTTCTCGTTTCCATCTAAAGCTGCCTCTGCGGCACTGACGATGCAGCAGTTTCTAGTTCACAGCAGGTTGATCATAATAACCAGGGGCGCAACGTGCTTTCTGACGCCTGTGCGTTTACGTTATACGCACACATGCGCAGATGCAAAGTACGGAGACTCTTAGGGGACATGGGGGGAATTGTTTTGTAGCGAGTTCATGCAACATTACTGGAAGTATTTCTGCTACAATATGAGTTTTATAAGTTAACACAACGGTATATTAGGATCATTGTAGATTTAAAAAAAAAGAGTAAAATTCCACCAAAAAAACTACGATTTTGAGATCAAGCTCAAAATTTTTCTAGGAAAAGTCAAAAATTTGTAAGAATTACTGAGAAGTTTGATGGGGGAAAAAATTTTAAATTTCTGAGTTTCATTCAGCGTTGGAAATTTTCTGATTTTGGAAAGTGAAAAACTTTTAACTTTTGGAATTCATGTTTTTTTCCGGAAACGTTCTAAGATTAATCTCAAAATTTGAGTTCTTTAGCAAATTTTTGTCTTTTCAAATTCAGAAATTTCCTTTTGTTTCCCCCACCCCCAACATTATTTCTTTAGATTAATCTCAATTTGAGTTTTTCCAGCAAATTTTTGACTACAAACTTAGATGTTTTTGGGGTAAAATTTTGAAACTAACCTCAAGTTTTGTGTTTTTTCAAGCAAATATTAATCTTATTGGCTCTAGTGGCCTTTATTTGATAGTTAATTGGTAATGAGAGAAGGGGGAAGACATGCAGCAAAGGTTGCCAAGGCCGGAATCGAACCTGCAACAGCTATGTCAAGGACTAAGGTCTCCATATGTGGGTTGTGCTTAAACCCTGTGCCACCACAGCACACCAACTACTAGCACATTTTTTACATTAATATGAACAAATTCTGACAAATTTTTGTCCTTTCAAATTTAGAAATGTAGTTGACTTTTTTCTAAAAAAAAAAAAAAAACATTGTCAGGCCCAAAAAGACTTAGCCACATTTCTTTCAAATGAAAACAGTAGAAAATAACTATATCAGTGCTGTTATTCTTCTAAAGTAGCCGGAAGCTACCATTTAATGCATTTCATTGCTCCTTTATCCGGATCTCCCTCCAGAAATAATTATTCTGTCATCGCTTTGGCGCCCTCTGTAGCCCGGCGGCCCCCGGACAGTTTCGTGGTTTTCTTCAGCGAGGTTTGCCGGAATATGTCAGTTTCTGCTGACCGCTTCCTTCCCGTTTCATCGAAGGAGAGCAGATCTGCTGACAGGTTCCTACTTGTTGCACCAAAAGGCCGAGTGGAGATGCTCAATGGCCTCCGGGCAGGATGACCGCGGAGCAGACGCAGGGGAGCGCTCAGCGAGGTCAGTCAGCTGCTGATCTGCGGGATCCAGTGAGAACACCGGACCCAGGGAGTCTCTTCCCCGTTAATCAGGCTGGGACTCAGCCAACACAAATGTTTCTGCGTTATCTCCATGAGATGCTGAGCTCAGCGGTCAAACCTCCGCTCAGTCAGGAGGAGCTGCTCCACCGATTTCAATCAGAGGAGAAACTACGGATGCCGGACAGTTTAAATCAGCCGGTTCGAGGTTAAAGACCCCTTCAGGCTGCTGAAGCGCTCTGCCTGTCACAACTTCCTGGCATTGTTCTCTCCTGTCAGGACTTTGTGCCCCTTTGCCGCAGATTCCTGCAAGGTCATGAAAAAAACACACAGTTTTCTTTCTAAAATACCTTCATTCTGCCTGATTTTTCTGAATCTTTCAAGGTGAAATTAAAAAAAAAAAAAAGTAAACAATTTGGTTGAAAATTAATCAAATTCCCATAAAATCAGAGCTGACTTAGTTACTCTGTTTGGTTTGCATTTGGTTTGAGACTTTAACGCATTCATTTATATTAACTAATCACATTTATTATTAAAGCAGTAACTGTTTTAAACTTAAAGTCCGACCCGGAACCTTTGTATTGTGTTTCTGGTACGCCTGTAAATCTAACGCACTAGCGACATCTGCAAACAACAGCAATAGCCAACAAAATCATTCCTCATTAAACTTGGCTTCAAAAAACAAGCTGATTGGACACTGGAAATGACTATTGTTGTGTTCAAGTTGTGCTTATGTTAGCATATAAATGAAGCTAAAATAGCATCTGAATGCTAGAAGCAGGATCACAGACGTCCCCAATGCTAAAGTTAACATTCACATTTCCAACAAAACTACGTTCCTGAAACGCTTCAAAGCTAAATTACTCCAGTTTGATGGTGAACAGATTAAACAGTTAGCTGCTTCAACTTAAAAAGCAGGAGTGTTATAAATCCTTATTTTTATGGTTTTCAATTAAAATGTGATTAATACTAGAGTCTGAAAATAATTTCATTAAAAGTTTTAATCGAGGCCCACCACTAGTTTTTATCCTTGCCTTTATGATTTTTCTATTACTTTTACTGTATCCTGCAAAACTACACACACCACTAAAATGATTTCTGATTTTGTAAATTTACAACCACAAACTTTCACCTATTTTGGAGGATTATTTTTTTAAGAATGAGAGTGGTTTTAGTCCCCATCATGATGATGCCACTAAATAAAGTCCATTAAAATTACCTTCAGAAGTTACTTGATTGTGTGAATGCTGTAGACATATTTTTAAGATATTTTACCTTTTCTGCAAATTTTATTTGTCCATTGAAATAAAAGGAAAATCTTCAAAATTCTGCATAAACTGTGTTCTTTCATTTACAGATTATTTCACTTATAACATGGGAAAAATGTCCTGTAATAAGTGAAATAATCTGCCAATGAAAGAACACATTTTGACTTATTATTGACTTAAAACCAGCTTCTATATCATGTTGAAAAGTTACTTGTAAGTTAGTTTTTGTCTCATTTTAAGTGTAATAAGACATTTCCACTAGAAATTAGACCAAAATTACTTTTGAAGAGTTTCATTAAAAGCACATTCATGTCTTGGAATGGCTTAGTCAAAGTCCAGAACCTGAGTGACTAGAAGATGTACATCAACATATATATATTTTTCTCTTTTTATTCACTATTTTGTGTTGCTATATAACATGCAAACCCTTTAAAATACATGCTGGGTGAATTATTTAAAAGTGACAAATTTGGATAAATTCTGCTCTAAGGAGACAAAACAAAGGGGGAAAAAAGGCTAAACAGACGTTTTATCAGTTTAATTGAGTTTTCCTGGACTTCAGTCCCTCTTCTCATCGCTAACTGAGGATGTCCTGTCAGCTATCTGTGTGTGTGTTCATGGGAAGTGGGAGGGCAGAGACTCCCGTCTGCTTGATCTCTCAGATTGTCCGAAGCATCAGAGCTGGAAGGCGTCAACTCCAGGCAGGGAGGAAAAATAAAACCTACAGAGGGAGAAAGAAATAACGAGTTTAATCCAGAAAAACTGCTTCCGCAGAAAGGTAGGATGAAGTTCTATGTTTGGAAATGTTTCAGTTGGATAAAAAGGTTTTATGTTCATTAAAATGCTTCAAATCTTTTTATAGGAGTTTGTTT